GTGTGCATGAATATTTCTCATATTTATTTATCGATGTCGAAACCAACAAAGTTTAAGATATACTTTTGTAGAATAATCCTTTGGTGAATATTATACACGGCATTCATAAGTCGCAGCGGACGAACGATAAAGATAAGTCCCATCTGACGAACGATAAAGATAAGTCCCATCGGACGAACGATAAAGATAAGTCCCATCGGACGAACGATAAAGATAAGTCCCATCGGACGAACGATAAAGATAAGTCCCATCGGACGAACGATAAAGATAAGTCCCATCGGACGAACGATAAAGATAAGTCCCATCGGACGAACGATAAAGATAAGTCCCATCGGACGAACGATAAAGATAAGTCCCATCGGACGAACGATAAAGATAAGTCCCATCGGACGAACGATAAAGATAAGTCCCATCGGACGAACGATAAAGATAAGTCCCATCGGACGAACGATAAAGATAAGTCCCATCGGACGAACGATAAAGATAAGTCCCATCGGACGAACGATAAAGATAAGTCCCATCGGACGAACGATAAAGATAAGTCCCATCGGACGAACGATAAAGATAAGTCCCATCGGACGAACGATAAAGATAAGTCCCATCGGACGAACGATAAAGATAAGTCCCATCGGACGAACGATAAAGATAAGTCCCATCGGACGAACGATAAAGATAAGTCCCATCGGACGAACGATAAAGATAAGTCCCATCGGACGAACGATAAAGATAAGTCCCATCGGACGAACGATAAAGATAAGTCCCATCGGACGAACGATAAAGATAAGTCGCATCGGACGAATGATAAAGATAAATCCCTTCTGACGAACGATAAAGATAAGTCCCATCGGACGAACGATAAAGATAAGTCCCAAGACATCTGGGAAAGTATTCGTGCGTGCGCATCTGAAGCCTCTCTGTGAAGCACTTGACAGCTCGAGCTTCCCCTGGCATGTAAACAAATATGACAGGCAGCCACTGACAAAGTATTCAAATTCTTGTCAAAATAATCGAATCGCCGGAACCACTGCTGCTCACACTGGCACATCAGGTAAGTTGTGAATTTCTGGAAGAATACAGCAGTTTGTCGGCCGATTTTAGTGGAAGTAATCGCAAAGACACTTGGCAAGTCATGAGTTTTCACGCACTTCGCACATCAGCTGACTGGTCCAAAGATAACACCCACTTTCCTGCGAGCCCTTAACGAGACCACTTGTACTCCTGCGAAAGCTTTGTTTCGAAGATGGTCCAGAAGATTGAAGTAGAGGGTTTCGACGCCTTCGTGGAGGCCGTGGAATCCTTTAAAGCCTCGGGGAAGCCGGTCTTCGTCCTGTTTTCAGGCTCAAAGGCAGCGGGCGGCGTGAGTTGGTGCCCCGACTGCGTGACAGCCGAACCCGTGGTCAAGGGCGCCGTCGACAAAGTAGCTCCTGAGGACGCCGTCTTCATCTATGTTGGCGTCGGAGGCAGGGACTTCTGGAAGGACCCCAACTGTGTCTTCCGCACAGACGCCAGAACCAAGTTAAAAAGCGTCCCCACCCTGATGAAGTACGGGACGCCGCAGAGGCTGGAGGAGGAGCAGTGCGCTAAGGCCGAAATGGTCGAGATGCTCTTTGAAGATGCTTAGCAAACAATTGTACATGGCTGCCCAACATAGGAAGATGTATTACTGATTCCTGAAAAACAACTTATTGTTTTTATAACAAATGATTTATGAACAAACCAGCTTTGTGTTTAGTTTTAATGTATGATTAGGGCAACAGGGGATCCCCATAATTATCTTCAACACAAATGTTTCTTCTATTTAGATATGTTCTTAAGATGTGATTTTCCAGTGACACTTCTTAGAATGTTAACTATATGATTTAACCAGTTACTTTTGAATGGCAATTACATTTAATGATTACCTGTTTGTAGTGTCACCAACAATTTTTTAATGTTACACTCTGTCACCTATGATACATGCTTGACTAATATTTATATCAGGAGAGATAAGCAACATAATACTTGGTTGCTTTAATTTTTTGTTGCAGATGTAAGATATCTTTGCCAATGGCCAATGAATTTTGTATGAGTTTCGTATTTGAAAAAAAAAAGTACGATAGTAACTCTGTATATCTTCCACTTTGGATAATAATATTGATAGAAATTTAATTGCTGGTATTTGTTATCCAAAATCCAAACCTAACCTTTCCTACCTTCTATTTACTCCCTAGACAGGGGGCAAGCCCGCCTTTACCCCCTTTATTAACACTTTGGGTGAACTTGCAGAAAACGTGACATTAAAGACTGCGGCTATGTGAGGATGATGTGGACTTTGTTTCAGAGCAGTGACAAGCATAGGGTATTTCCGTAATTTCCTGGTAAACTTGAGGACGCTGCAGTTAAAACTCTATTGCTTCCTACTCTATTTATTATGCTCTATAAGATGGCAGTGTCTATTTCCCCCTATCTCAGTGCGTTGCTTTTGGTAACATTAATCTAATTGTTTCTATTACCTAAATGT